GAGCGAGGTGTGCCCCTGACCCGGCTCGGGCTCCAGCCCTCCCGCCCCGCCAGCGCGGCCTGCAGCGTCGCCCCCCGCCCCGGCCCAGACCTCTCTGCTGCCGGGCCTCCTCGCTGCGGGCTCTCGGACAACTTATCCCTGGGCCCCGGGGAGCGTGTCAAGTTGAGACAGTAGTAACTCTCTGTAAAGATTCTCGAAGGCCATTGTTGGACTCTTCTCCGGGAAACAAGTTTTGTGGGTTTGTGTTCATTCGCTGCGGAGTCATCGAAATACACAAAAACCAGTTTGGAGTCTTCCAGTCGTCTTCCCAGTGATTTTCTTTAACTCCAGTGCTGTGTCTCGGATGTAGAGCTGGTCACTAATGCCTCCCTGGTGTATTTGAGCCGGGGGTGGGGGGTTGGGGGGTGGTCCTTCTAGTGACTTGAAGTACCTCCCTCTTAAAGAAGCCCATTCATTCAGTGTGAACTTGGTGTTTCCTTCTGAGGTCTTGCTTGTTTCTGTTTTTATCACCGCCTGGACTTTTAGTTTAGGTGGTCGGGATGACCCCTTGGTTGAATTCTCTGTGCCCTGCCGTTTCTCATGACCTTAATGACATTTCCCTGGCAGGTAACATTTTTTTCTGGGTATGGGTAGAGTTTTGTTTATGTTTTGCTTTTATGGGAGGGGGCACTTGGTGGTAGTTTGAGTTCATCCTTGCAGTGCTGTTGTCCCACTTTATTGATGTGAAGTTTACTTCGATTTTGTCCTCAAGGTTATGTTACAGATAGGCAGCAAGTGGGAAAGGGACTCTAGATTTCCAGTCGGTGAAATGTGCCTTAAGTTGCGAGTGTTTGATAGCCAGTTAAGGTAGTGTTTGAGCTTTCTTCACTCTGGAGTTGGACTGTTTGAGTTCAGATCTTGGCTTGACTACTTCCTAGCTCGGTGACCTTGGGCAAATTACTGAGCCTTTCTGCTGCTTCTGTAGTATGGGAATAAAAATAGCATCTACCCCAAGAAATTTGTCCCTAAAGATGTGTTATACATGTAACTGAGTATAAGTGTTAATGAGTTAATATTTATAAAGCAGTGAAAACTCTGCCTGGGATGTATTGCAGAATCATCTCAGTAGTTCGTGGCTGTTACTATTAAATTTGATTCTTGGAGCTGGCAGGTGGTGTGATGGTTGGGGCGCTGGACACCCACATGGCTGACCTCAGTTCCGATCCTGAACCTGGTGACTTGCTTTCTCACTTTCTCTCTGTCTCTCACGGTCTGGTCAGATTAAAATAAGTGAGTAAATAAAATTAAATAAGTAATTGTTTTTTTTAAAAATTTGATTCTTAAATGTTTAGATGCTATTAGGAAGTAAAATAGATGAGTGTTTGAGCCCTGATTTTTTTTTTTTTTTTGAGAGAGATTTTTGCTATAGGGTGGTGCACTTGCCAGAGAGACAGAGTGAGAAATCATTCCTCAGGGGGGATGGCCACCTCCACAGTCCCTTCTCCTCTGTTCTCCTCTTGGAATCTTTGACGCACATGCACCATCCACTGGTCCCCAAGCCTTGGTTCTTGTTTAGAAAGCTGTGTTTCAAGAGTCAGTTGACTGAAAAAGTAAATTGGAAGTTATTTAGTTTTTTCATAAGAGAAGTTGTTGAAGATTCACTAAGTTAAATACAGTTGCTGGAGAACTGAGTGGTGATGTCTCAGAATGTTTTGTTTTGAGAGACAGTTAAAAGGACCAACAGATGATGTGATGGTTATGTCCCACATAGCCGACCATGGTTCAGGTCCCAGAACTGGTGGCTTAAAACTCAGCTGGGTGTTTGTGCGTGTCCAAAATCCTGAGAGGAGAACGGAGAAGGGATTGTGGCGAGGCCATCCTTTCTTACTTTCTGTCTCTCTGACTCTGACGAACGCACATGCCCTATAGCAAAAAAAAACTCTCTAAAAAGAAGAGAGACAGTTAAATACAGGAAGTCCTTCAGAAGCTTCAGTAGAACTCAGTTCTTAGTTTAATGTACTTTTGGATACTACCTTCTGGTGTGCTTGGTGTTTAAACCAGTAAGTTCAGAGATCTTGGTTGTTATTGAAGATTGAAAGGATGTTGTGTATTGAGATAGTCTTCAGTGAAGATAGTTTGGGAAAGAGTAATTCTTTTCCCCAAACTACATCCATACAGTAGCCCTGGGTGGATGCATTGGAAGCTTTTCTGTACTTCCATATGTCTGGTCAAAGAGTCTAGAATATTTTAACAAACTGGCATTCACTCAGTCATACATAAACTCATGGTTGTTTAGTGTCTGTCTTGTGCTCTTCTCTGTGATATTTGAAACCATGTTAACCTTTCCTTTGGTGTTATTTGCTCGGAACCTGACTTACCTTACTGGGGAAACACTTTTTTTTCTTTTTCTTTTTTTTTAAGTTTTTTTGCAATAGGGCTTGTGCACTTGCCAGAGAGAGACTGTAAGAGGGAAAGTGAGAAATCATACCGCAGGGAAAATGGCCACACTGCAATCCCTTCTCTACGCTCCTGTGATTTTGGACACATGCACATGCGCCCAGCATGTTTCAAGCTTCCAGTACTAAAACTATGGTTGGCCATGCGGGAGTCCAGTGCCTTAACCAATATGCCACCTGCAGGCCCCAGCACATTTTGATAGACTCAGTCTTTAAGTAGAGATGAGAACCTTGCTGATGCAACTTAACTCAAAGACAGGAGGATTTTTTTTTTTTTAAAGAAGACTTTAGTTTTGATTGCAAAACAAGACTCAATGAAACGTCCCAAAACACAATTTCTAGTTGCAATAAACTATACAATAATTGAACATTTGAGAATCGGGCCATAGCTAGACAGAATAAGAAGTCATAATAAAATTAAGACAGGGTGAGGTTTGCTCAGATTCTTTAAGACATTTTTGCAACTATTTGGTACAAAGATAATGTGCCTATTACAAGTACACCTTTCTCTGTCTCTTCCCTCCCCGCCCCCAAATAAAAAGACCTGTGTGCTTGCCAAAGAGAGACAGTGAGAGGGAAAGTGAGGAATCACTCTCTGGAGGGGATGGCCAGGCTGCATTTCCTTCTCCATTCTCCTGGGATTCTGGGTGTGATATTTTTCAAGCTGCTGGGTTCTGGACTCAAATCATGCTTGACCGTGTATTAGTCCATTGCCTTAATCACCAGACTACCTGCTGGCCCCCAGTAAACATCTCTTTAAAACATTTTGGAGGGAGGATTGTTATTCAGATTGTTTCTGTGACAAACTTATATTTCACAGTTTTATGTTTTAGATATTTAAGAGGCAGTACATCTTAAAATAAAAGTAGCTAACGCTACACAGCCCACACTTAGAGACTTAGATCTTGACTGGAGAGGACCAAACCAGAGTCTTGTGCTTGTTATGAAATAAACTCAGTGCTGTGTTTTAGTTGAGCAGATTGATAGAAGAGCTTCATTATGGTTATCATTTATCCTTTTTTGTTTGAGTTCTTGCTATTGGGTATGTGGACTCAAAAGAGACACAGGGTGGTGGGGAGTGAGAAATCACTCCTCCCCCCAAGCGAGATGGCCATGCTGCAATTCCTTTTCATTCTTCTCTTGGGATTTTGGGCACACATGCACAACTTTCCTACTTTTTTTTTTTTTTAAGGGGTTTTTTTTTTTTTTTTTTTGGTGTAGCATGCGCACTCACCAGAGAGACAGAGAGACAAAATGAGAAATCACTCCTCAGGGGGGATGGCCACTGCAATCCTTATTCCTTTATTCTCCTCTTGGATCTTGGACACACATACACATGTGACTGGCGTTGAGTTTAAGCTGCCAGGTGTGGGACTCCAATGGCGGCTGACTATGTGGGAGTCCAGCAAACTGCCATGCCATCTGCTGGTCCTACTTGGTGTGATTTTTAAGCTGCCAGGTCCAGGACTCCAACCCTGGAGTTGACTACATTGGGATCCAGTGCCTTAACCTTCTCACTGTCTGCTGGCCCTTTGTTTACTTTTTTTGGAGAGGTTTTTGCTATAGGGCGCATGCGTTCTCCAGAAAGACAGAGAGAGACAGAGACCATCCCCCCAGGGGGGATGGTCACACCGCAATCCCTTCTCCTCCTTTCTCCTCTTGGGATCTGGACACGCACGCACATGCGCCTGGCGTGAGTTTAAGTCACCGGGGTCGGGACTCGACCTGCGGTTGACTACATGGGAGTTCAGTGACATAGCCATTATGCTAACTGCTGGTCCCTTATTTACTCTTAAATGTAGTAAAGTATGGTAAAATTTTAGACCTTTTTTGTAGAATGTACTGAAAAACCTTGCTTCTTGGCTTAAAACAGCTTTTATATTTCTTTCTTATGAAAACTTTAAGTGATTGTTGTTTACTCTAGATTAGGGGTTTTCAACCAGGGATGACTTTGCATCCCAGGAAACATTTAGCAATGTCCTAATACATTTTTGCTTATCACACCTCTGGGACTAGGGACTGTGTGTCTAGAGGGCAGAGGGCAAGGACACTGCTAAACATCCTTCAATGCACAGGTTGCACCACCCTACCCCTCCCCACAATTATCCAGACCCAAATATCAATAATGCTCAGTTAGAGAAATCCTATTCTAGGTTGATGCTAGACTGGGCTGTGGTTAGACTCTTTTGGGACACTTTAAGATTGTGGATGTTAGATTTCACCTCTGGAAGTTGATGATATTGAGACACTACATATATATTTATTATTATTATTATTTAGTTGGTTTCTTTTCTTTTCTTTTTTTTTTTAAGAGAGATT